ACCCTACAGATGTAAGTATAGTTACCTGTAATGTAAACCCTACAGATGTAAGTATAGTTACCTGTAATGTAAACCCTACAGATGTAAGTATAGTTACCTGTAATGAGATGCCATGTATAACATCCATGGGATCTATCACGTTACCGAGAGATTTACTCATCTTTCTGCCATGAGCGTCACGTAATGTCCCGTGTAATAAAACCTACACCAAATAAATAAAACAAAAAATATAACATTCATTGTGTTAAGTTGACAGGACAAATATATAAAACTGAAATGTTTAAGCTAGATATATACATATAGAATGATCTCCAATAGACTAGGTATATACATATACAATTTTTGATATGTAACAATTCTGTTATTCAATCCATATAGTAGTAAGTTACCTCTGTAAAAGGGAGACGACCAGTCAGTTTATACCCAAGCATGACCATCCGTGCCACCCAGAAAAACATGATGTCACTTCCTGTCTCTAAAAGGCTTGTGGGATAGAACCTTTCTAAATCAGCAGTCTGTTGAAGAATATGATAGGCTGTAGATTAAACGTATGTACAAATATACTGTAACTGCACAAATATATACAAAGATAAAGAGCTAGCATTGTCACCAGAAAGGTAGACTTATTTCACCCTGCCTGCACCAAGAACTGTAGGAACAGTTCTTTCTAGAACATTGTTAAATGAATAAGGTATTGCAAGGCTGCAATCCATAGTCCCCCACCAGTGATTTCTATATTGATCGAGCTGTACACCTATCTCAAGATGTAGTTCACAGTAACACACTTCTTGTGCTCCACACTCCACCAGCCAAGACATACCCCTAAACCAAACCTAGTAATGCTAGTTAAAATACCAAATCTGGTTACTTAGGGTGAAATAGTATGGAAGATATGCATCAGACAATTTTTTTCCCAAAGGATAAGGTCAAAGGTCAATACATAGGTCACAGTGACCTACGTTTTGTACTTGGCACTCCACCATCCCAAAATGTACATGCATACCAAATCTGGTTACTCCAGGTGAAATTGTATAAAAGATATGCCCCAGACAAAAAAAATTAAAGGTTGGGGTTAAAGGCCAAGAAAAGGTCACAGTGACCTACTTTTAATACTGAACACTCTTTCATCCCAAGATATACTTGAATACCAATTCTGTTTACTCCAGGTGAAATAGTTTAGAAGATATGCTCTGGACAAAATTTTTGCTATTTTTTGTAAGAAGGGACATAACTCCCAAAATAATGGCAAGATCAAAATATTAATTGCAGGTGCACAACTTCAGAGTGCGTGGATTACATCAGTGAGGATTCATGAAATTCGGCTAAAAACTGTAGGAGTTATCTAGACAAAACTGTGTCGACAGACAGACAGATGGAGAGACAACCCGATTCCAGTATACCCACTACACCCAAACTTCGTGCAGGGTTCTAAGTATACAGTAACTACACAGTCATATAAGCATACAGTAATACATATACAAATATACACTGTACCTTTACAGACACAAGGGAGACACTGCCTCCTCACGATACCTCAAATTGTTAGAAAGATATATGTAGTCATACCAAGTTTGGTCAAGAATCAGCTGGCAACTTTTTAGAAGAAGCTTTTAATAAAATGTAGACAGATAGTTGACAACTGGACCTCGGACGAGGTGGACTATGATAACGGAAAATAGCAACACACCTGATTGGGCCAACCTAGTGAGGAGAACGGAAATAAGGCGGAAGAAAACCATGTGTCCAGCACATCTTCATCTGGAAAAACAACAGGTTAAACAACAGGTTAAACAACAGGTTAAACTGTCAAATATCAGAAGTAGTCAAAACCCTACCTTCAATATCAGTGTTTTATGATGATCAACAAATGATACTTTAATGATCCTCCAGATAGTTTT